CATTCTTATAATAATATTAATGATTTTAATTGTTTTATTGATGTAAGACTTTTGATCTTTTATTTATATGGCTTGTGGGGTATATAAACGACTCTTATAAAAAATGATTTAGGGTTTCTTAAAAAATCAAACATGCAGCCTCTTTACTTTCATGAAGATATTTTTTATTGAATGTTTTTCTTATATATATAATAAAAACTATAATAGTATGATTGGTCCCACTTATTTCAAATTTCTAGTAACTTTGGCCATTAAGATATTCATTATTCTGAATTTTTATTAGAATATTAGCCCTAGTTATATGTAATGAGGTGTAATATAAAAGCTCATATTATTATCAAGTCCAAGAAGTATGCATGATGGTCAAGTATTGGTCGATGTGTTTTTAATAATGAAAGAGCACATTATAATAATTGACAATGAACAAATATAAATTTATTAAAATGTGGTGTTGTAGATTATTCTTGATTAAAGATTGAAACTCTTAAAAATTATGATAATGAATTAATTTATATCTCATTTCTTTTAATAAAGCATCACAGTTTAACTCTTATGACATTATAAGAGGCGGAAATAAAACATGTTTGATAATTCTTTTAGTTCTTATGGGTTGGAGCGGTAGTTCTCCAAAGGGTGTCTAAGAGATTCTAATGAGGCTGTGATAGAGAAAATACCAAAAAATTTATGCTTAAAGAGTATTGCATTGTGACATCAATCAATCAATTTTAGTTTATCATTGATTTTCTTTCGGGAAAATTCCATTATGTTTGATGATGTTCCTTAGCATCTAACCTTCTAAAAAAACTAATGATTTTAAGACCCACTATAGTGGGCATTTCTCCTACAAACCATTAAAGAAATATTTATAAAATGTTAGACATTTGCTAAAATATTCATGAGAATAAAGAAAGTTATAAAGCTTTGTATAAAGATTCTTCACATACACATATATAAAAAAAATCTAAAGTTCTTAAGTGAAAAAATATAAAAAAAAATTATGAAACCTCATAGATTTAACAGTCCATTATTATAGGATTATAAATGTCAAATCTTTTTTTCTTAATTGGATATGAAGATATTACATAATATTGATAGCTTAACCTTGTATAAGTATAAGAAGATGATAATATTATTGTGACAACTAGTTAATGAGAGTTGAGTAATTAAGAACAATCAAGTAATAGTGGCTAGGTGACAATGATTGAATTATGATATAATTAAATGACTCATGTTATCATTAATATTATGAAATATGTATGGCGGTCTTGGAACCATTAATGTACTTGTAAGGACCAATGATCATTTATAGTAATAGGTGATATACTTATTAAACTTTAGTAGAATGAAATTTTATGGAATTGTGTTGATTTGAGGTAAAGACTTAAAAGAAAATTATGTCAATGAAAAAGTTAATTCCTATCCCCAAAGAATTTATTTTGAAATAAAACACCAAAGTGATGAGTTGAACTAATAACTTTTCTAAGATTCTAATGAAGCTTTGATAAAGGATGAACTATAGTATGATAAAAAGGAGCACCACATGAGGGACATCAAGCTGATGAATCTTAAATATTTGTAGTTTTTATGGTGGATAAAATATATTATAATGAAAATGTGCTCTTTATCACTCAACTTACTCTGAGCGCTAAAATATTTGATCTTAATGTGTTATCATCCTATAAATATAATATTCTAAAGATAAACCTAGAGAATCTTTCCTAGAAAAATTATAACATAATTGATTGTGTGACTAATTCTTGAATTGGTGAGTAATACAGTGTGTGACTATTATTTGGGCTTTCACTCGAGTAAGATATTAAGGAAATATTTGTACAATATTATAAATATCTCAAATTATTATGTGTTAGAATATTTACACTTAAATAGAGCATTTTGTTTTAATTTTGGACAAAAATTATGACTACACATTTAGAAAATAATAAAGAGGGTCCATTATTTTGATGTGAAAAAAAGAAAATGGAAAACCCAACTAGACTTATACCACTAAAAATAATATATTAGATATTAATATTGCTTTTAATTGGAGAAATGAGTTTAAAACTTGGAATAAAAGCATAAAAGGAGACAGGGTGTGTATGTGTGTGTGCGTACGTGTAAGTGTATAATAATGAACAGTAGAATATGTTTTTTATTAGCCTTTTAGTGAAGAAATGGTCCCTTATTTATAAAAGATTGGGTATAATGTGTGTAATTACAAGCTTGCTTTACTTTAATGGGAGCGTTACGTGATATTTTATGTATTTTACAAGTGCAAGCATGTGGCTTGGTTAACCCACAACTCGGTCAACTGAGATCGGCAGGTTTTGGTATGTTAAAGTCAGATCGTCAGATTGTGCTGAATTGGGTTACCGATTGAATTTTAGTGGCCCTTAGTTCGGATGGATTTGGCTCGGTCGGTGAGATTCTACTGGTTAACTACTCTGTTCCAACTATCAACTTTTGATTCTTAGGTGAGGAATTCTTATTGATAGAATGGGACCAGACCATCGAGCAAATGGTGGATCACCGTAATTCGACAGGTAAATCATCCCTAAACAGAAGAACCCTTCGAGATATTCTTGGAGTACATCTTGGTTAGTTCTCAGCCTCCTCACAAGGAGTATCCAAGGTGTTTATGAGATGTATGTCTAGTCTTTTCCCGTGGATTAGATTGGGGGAAGAGTTGGGTCAGTGTCTTTTCTCGTCTGATTGATTTTGTCTTCGGTTTGGACAGTCTGTGTCTGGTTGCCATCGAGTCTAATTTAGGTCTGTTGCACCTGGCCAAGTGAGTCCATTGATCTCTCGTTAATTGTTATTTTAGCTTCTCTCCACTAGATCTTCATGGTTGTACATTCTTATCTCTTAGTCCATTATACTTCTTGCGATTCATGCTAACTTAGAACAATATAGATAAAAATTTAAAGGTTAGATATGTAATTTGTAAATAAATAAAATAATTTCAAGGTACATGCGTTCTTCCCCTTTAAAAAAAAAAACATTGGCTAAAGTCTTAAAAAATTAAAGCGAAATAGGTTTTCAAACTCGGCCATGTTCATCGGCCTCCTCCGGACCGGAAAAATTCACCGTCCACGTTTCATATACCAAACCGCGGGCCCCATTTTCCATTGCCGGATTCTGCAACTTATCTCCTCTATCAGGGCGTCCGTTCACACTTTTTATGCGAACCCTCGGATTCGATGCGGAAATGACAAATCCCTCCCCTAGACCAAATTCAATACTAAGCACTAGAAGCTTCCAGCAGGGGCCTATTCGTCTATTCGTCATTTATAACGCGGGGGTATTTTCGTTATTTCGTCCAATGCGGGCCCCCATTTCCCGCTGGCCTGGTGGACTATATAAGGGTAAGGTCACCGAAAAGCATTCTCTGTGTAACATATTCCCTCCGCCGGCCCCGCTGTCACCTTTCGGGTACTCTTTCGGCGACGAAGAAAGAAGAGATTGGAGGTGAGGTGCATAGGAGGAGGTGAGGAAGAAGATGTATCCATTACAAGGCATTTAGTTTAGATCTGGAAGCGAAGTCTTTATTCCTTTCTTCTGTTTTTGATCTGCAGTGGTACGATGATTCTCCATCTTTCATTTGATAAGCATATGTACACACAGTCACACAGGATTCTTTCCGTGAATGATTTTCTGTTAAAAAGAATACGGATATTCTATAAGTTTGTTTTGGATGATCATCGGATTGGAATCTGAGTTCGATTTTTGTGCGAGTGAGAATGGAATTAGTTGTTATTAGTTTTTTGGAGATCGGAGCATTCATTTGGGTTGTATGTGTTCGTCGATGGAGTATGAATGAAGTTCTAGGGTGTAGATTGGTTTGTTGTTGCGGAGAAGGGAAATAAGGTGGGTTTTCTTTCGTTGGGTTATGAGTATGGTGTCTTGATTTAGGGGGATTATGTAGTCTCAACGCTCAAGAGATGGATATTTATGAATGTCCTTACTCCTTTTTTTTTTGGTCTTGAAGATATCTGTGCAATTATTCTTCCCAAACTGAGCTTTCTGAAGAGTTGAAATGAAAGCAAACACGTTGAAGGATACCTGCTTCCTTTTAGTTTTGAGCTTGACTGCTCCTAAACAACAAGCATCTAATTAGGTGGAGTTTATTGAATGAAAAATGGTGCATATGCTGTTGAATTCACGGTAATACAAAACTTTTTTTACATTTTTAAGTAGGCCTCCTGCCGTGGAAGAAAAGCGATGTCAGACGCCTCGTTACATGATTTTTGGGCAGGTTCTCCGTCATTATTTTGGCCGGTTTAACATATCTCTCACTGAATTTGATCCCAATCGCCTCTTTGGGCGTACACTAGTTCCTTATATTCACCCGCTGGCTCGTCCGTGATGCCGTCATTTGTCGTGTTGGAGTGTTTTGCTGAAACACGGAATATTTGGTGTTGAAGTCTTGGTCTCTTACGCAAGGTTACACGTCCCTTTTTCTTTTACGACAGGGAACCTTTATGGTCGCACTTTTTTTGCCGCGAGCTCTGATTATGCACTAGCACTCGCCTATCCAATTTCCTGTTTTGCATTTTAGGGTTTTTTTTTTTTTGGATGGTTCTCTGGCAGATTTCTTTTTTGAGCGTCAATTACATTAGAGGCCAACAGCTATCTGCCTAGTAACCATTTGCTAGAAAATTTACATGCATACCACTCAATTCCTAGCTGGTTTAGAATTATTTTTTTAAAGTAGCTTTACATGTCCGAACTCATCCTCATTTGTATGGTGTGAACAGGTCTCTGATTTCTCAAACAATAAGTTTTCATAGCTTAGTTTCACAACTTGCAGACACCTCCATACAGTTGCCTCTAGACTCTAATTGAGCTTTCAACCTGGATCATTCCTTCATATACATGAAAAATCGTCCTCCCTAGTCGTCTTCCTAAAGAAAAAGAACAGCTCAAATTGTTTGACTTGTACTATTTCACTTGAATTGATAAACTATATGTATTTTCTTTTAAGTTGAGTTTGTTAAACATAGAACAAACGCCTCTTTTGTTTGGGTGATTAAGATTATTTTACCCTGGACACTTGTTATTCTGAGGTAAATCTATGGTTATGCTGTACTCATTAGCAGAGAATACGATTATATTGGTGGTAAGACCAAGGAAAAGCTAACGGAAGAGTAAGTCCTCTTTTCTTCGCATGTTATCCTGTCGTACTTTTTTATATCTATAAAACTCTTCTCAGTCATCTTGCCCTTACTTCACGGTCTACTAGAGTTCCTTGAGGACTCATGAATCACGAATTGTCAGTATTATTTGGTGCTTTATTGAATCCTCTCACTTCTCCCAATATATGTCATTGTTGGCGATATCTGTCACAACTCATCTTGGGATTTAGAATTAACCAAGGTAGGAATGGATTGTTGAACAGTGGAATTAAATTTTTTGTATTTTTTTTATCACTAATAGTTTATTATTTAAATATTAATTGAAAGAGCCATTAAAGAAAATAATTAAATTTACCAAATAAAAAATAATTATTTTTTTGGCTGTTGACCTTTTCTGCTTTATATGTTAGCTTATCTAGTATTCATCTTATTTAAAAACTTAAACCTGAAAAATTTTAAAAGAACATAATGAGTTATCAACATATAATTTAAGATCAATAACTCTTATAAGCTACAATAACTCATTGAAAAGAAAATAATATGCATGTTTATCTTTCATATTTCTATAAAAATCTTATAATAATTTAATGTATGTGTCCATGCCATTTACTTAGTAGAATAAACTTATAATTTGATATGCATTAACTTCAATTGTACTCTTCAAATTTTAATATTTAACTTTAATTTTACTTCATATTATTAGTATTCGTATTTATTTAAGAGCATCATCAAAACATAACCTAACACATCTTTGCCCGATATTATCGCGTCGACACAATATTTAATGATCGAATTTACTCGATTGTTTGGAGTGAAAATGTGTCTGCTCGTCCATGATCAACATTCTCTCGTTGGCGCAGTGTTAGGTATCTAAACTTCACATTTATTTCTGGTGGTAAGATAATATTTATGTGTACAAATACACTGACTTCTTTATTTGGATCAACAGGGGTAAGATAATATTTTGATTTCATTCTTCAATGCATACATCACATTCATGTAAGACTTGTATTTATCTAGTAAAGTTAATGCAACTCTACTAGAAGTTAAGGTCATAATTTTCAATTCTTACTAAACAATAGTTACTCGTTATGTGGGTATCTATTATTAATTAATAAAATTTATTATTAAAAATTTACTATCACTGAAAGAAAATATTGTTTATTATTTGATTTTCAATTCTTACAGAACAATACTTACTCGACATGTGGGCATCTATTATTAATTAATAAAATTGATTAAAAATTAACAATCATTGAAATAAAATATTGTTTATTAATTTGTTACTAAGCATAAAACATTTTGTACAAGTCAATTTACTATTAAACCTAGAAAAACAAAACCCTCACTTACATTTTTACTTGGATTGACCTCTTAAGCAACACACACAAGTCTTCTTCCCTTATGAAGCTCACTCCTCTGCTCGAAGCCACCTCTTCTCACATGCGATGATCCCCTGGATCTTTCTCTTTCTACAAGTGGAGAAATCTCGTGCTTGACTCCTTCGGTTTTTCCCCTTTTCCTTCTGAATGCAAGTGATCCTTCTGCAATCAATGCCCTGCCGCTCACTCGCACCTCAGGGCATCCTCTCCTCTCTTCTTTCATGCATAGGGCACATGTGCCTACTCTGTGCTATGCACGAGACAAGCCTCACGCTCGAGTCGACATCATCTCTTTGACGCTTCGCCTCTTGTTCTCCTTCGCGTAGATTGCTCACACAACGAACTATGGGTTGCCTGTCCAGCCAACAAGATTGAACCTCTCCTATACTTGCATCGACTACATCTTCTCTCCCTCTGCCATATTCTTCTTCTTCTCATAGGGTGTGATTTTTGCTCTTTGTTGATTCCCTATGCTCGAATGTGACATCATCAGTAAGGTATGATGCTCCCTTCTCTCTTTTTTTTATTTTTTATTTTTTATTTTTTGCTTCTATCTCTCACTCTATTCTCTGCTATCACTTTTCGCTCTTTCCCTCAGTTTCTTATTCCCTTCCCCCGCTTCAAACGGTACACCCATCTCTTAAGAAGTAATCGTCAAAGTGTTTCGTTCGATATTTCCAAATAATTATTTTATTTATTTTTTCAATCATTGCAGTTTCAATTCTATGAAAATTTGCGAACACTTTGCCTACAGAAGAACAATTTGCCAAGCTTGTTTGTGTCATGTCTCATGATGATACCTCCGTAAGTTGATGTGGGACATAATAGATCTGAGTTCAAATTAGTTGAGTGAATAAACCTTCAACACCCATTTTGGTTTTCTACTTGTTAAGATAGAGTGGGAGATAAATTCAATCACCTTAATTCACCTAAAACAAAACATAACACATTAATCCAATTCACATACATCCAATAAAATCAACTAGTCAAATTTAGCAGAAGTAATACAAAATAATTTATTTAAATATAACTGCATAACATTTAAATTACACTATGATTCTTATAAAAACATAAGCTTCTTTTGATGCTTTATCTTAAAATTTCTCTTTATTAAAATAGTTGTATGGTAAAATATGATCATAAAATTGAACTAATTTTGCTCAGTCTTTACATTTTCTTTTTCTTTTTCTTTTTTGTAAAAATACATATGACAATCTAACTAGTTGCCTCAAAACGATAAACAATTCTAATATATATAACTCAAATACGAAAGAATAGTAAACAACAGGAGAGTATATTGCAACGAAGTACCAACTATTGGGTTTTGCAAACCTGTTACAGCCCCTTCAAATCCCAGGAATAGCATGGGAAGACATCACAATTGATTTTATTATCCATCTACCTCTACCATACAATCAGACTTTTTTCATGATGGTCTTTAACCGGTTCGCAAAGTATGCTCACATCTTGATGTTGACATGATTTAAGTCAGCCTAAAATACATTGTGCTGAATTTGTGTACTTTCTGGCCAATTTTTATTGCTAAATTAAGCGAAGTTAATTTTTGCAATGGTCTTTTATTAATTTTTTAGGTATATAGAGGAGACAGGTGACAACAGTTATGGAAGAAGAGACGCATCAAAGTTCCAGAGAAGTTAAGGTTAGTTATTTCCTGGCCTTAATAGTCTGTGTTTTCTGTTCTGACCACTACTTACTATGTTTTATGCTTTAGAGGTCCACTTGAAGCTCCATTTTTGTTGGATTCCTTCATTTTTGAGCCTTGAAATGAGTCAATAAGTAGCCTTTAATTTCTTGTCATTGATTGATGTTTTTAATACTAGGAAGAAGAATATGATATTTGTAACTACTGTAATCATACAGAAAAGTTCCCACATTCTTTTTGTGGGGGGCGAAGTTGTAAGTATTGTGTGTTTCCTATTGTGCGTGGAAGCTTCTTTTCCATGTGTTACAAATCAAATATCTCCTGAATTTTTAAGTGATAATTCTTGTGATTGAACTTATAAGGTGTTTTTAAAAGCTATTTCTTGTGTTTTGAATCAAAGATCTTGTGCATTTTTGGAAGCGTGGTCTTGAAGCCTTCGACCCATACCCTACATTATTATATCTGAAGTTTTTGTTTTCTAATTCAATTGAAAGCATTAATCATATTCTTTTTAGATCCTGAGGTTTATGAACCACTCACGTCCTCTCAATTTTGTTTATTAGGATCTATAGGATTTACTGATATTTGCTTGTTTATCTAGATGATTTTTGTAGACCGGTGGTTTCTTTTTATTGGGATGGGCTTACACCTATTGAACTTATCATTAGTGGCCTATCTTATTTTAATGATATTTATTGCAAAAAGTATGATATAGAATTTTATGTATATACATATTCTGTGAATGGTAAATTTGCAAGCATAAAATCTCCTTTAAATGAAGGCCAAATATTTTGTAGTTCGGTTTGGTTTTTGAATATATGAATGCTTAAGCAGTTACATGACAATTAATCATATGATTATCAATTTTTATATTATTCTAATTTTTGGACTAGCTTGAGTGTGAAAAACAATATGATCTGATAGTATTATAATAGAAGTGTGAATATTTAGGAGATATGATGATTTATTGTTTTAATTTTTTAATACTATTTTAAAAACTAAAAAAAAGATGCTTGATGATTCACGAAAGGGTCTATTGGTTCTTTTTTAAGAGTAAAGGGGATGCACAAGAATGTGCAAATTATAGAGGAAATAAGTTAATGTGCTATATATTATAGTTATGTGATAGAAGAATTGAATATATATTAAGACACGGTATAAAAAGTTCTCCAAATCAATTTGTCATGTAATTGATTTGGGAGTTGTGAGGGAGAAGTATAGAGAGAGTAATAAGTATCTACAAATGAATTTTGTTGATTTCAAAAAATTTATGATAATGCTCCAAGAGGAAGTTGTGAGGGAGAAGTATAGAGAGAGTAAGAAGTATCTACAAATGAATTTTGTTGATTTCAAAAAAATTATGATAATGCTCCAAGAGAATTATTTTAGAGAGTTCTAGAAAAGAAAGATATTGATATTATTTATATTTAAGTAATTAAATATATGTATACAAAAGTTGTTACTTGTTTTAAAACCCAAAGAGAATTGACAAAGTATTTTCTATTTTTGTATGTCAATTTTAGAATCTAAACGCATTCGTTTGAATTGATCTAAAATTAAATACATAGAATGTAATTTTTTGTAGTAGATCTAGTGATGGGGCTATAACAATTAGCAATCAAGTCAAATGAGTGAACGTTTTAGACATCTCATGACTATTATTCAAATTGATGGTGATATAGATGCAGATGTTATTAGTAGAATTTAAGTTAGATGGTTGAAGTGGAGGAATGCGTCGAATGTGTTGTGTGATAGAAAGTACTTATTGTACTTAAAAAGAAAATTTTATAAGGTAGTGGTGAGACATGCAATGCTCTATGGCGCAGAATTTCTGCCTATAAAAGAGAAGCATAACATTAAGTTAAGTGCTGCTGAGTTGGGAATGCTCAGGTGGATGAGTGGCTTTACACTTAGCGATAAAATGTGAAAAGAATATATCCGTGAAAGCATTGGAGTAACCCCAATGACATACATGATTAGGGAGAGCGCCTTAGATGGTTTGGTCATTTTAAACTTCGACCATCTAATGACTGTTAGGAGGGTATATGTTTTAAATTTGATTTATGTTAAGAATGGTAGAGGTAGACCTAAAAAGACATGGGCATGTTGTGTAAAATGAACTTAATTTATTAGAATTAAATGAAAATATGACATTGACACAATGGAGAAAACAGATTCATGTAGCCGACCCCACTTAGTGGGACAAAGATTTGCTGATATTGACTAGCTTGAGTCTTCATTTTCAGTATACTCATTGTCATCCTTAGCAACTATCTTCCAACTATTTGTCATTGGCTTCATAAATCTTCATTCTTCATTGATTTAAACTTTTTGCTTCATGAGATGCTAAAATTATGCTGTGAAATCTTTCTGCACAACTTTTGTTTAAGTTATTTTTGTTTACCTCCTTGCTTTTGATCCTTCAACATTCATTTTTATGCCCCTAATGTATCGAGGGGATCTTCCCCCCTTTATTGTACATGTCCAAGGCAATAAGTCTAGTTTTCATTGAGTAGGGCTTCACTAACCAAATGAATTATCATTCCACATTTGAATTCCAAATTTTACGGGTCTTATGTCTAAAGCTAATGTGAATATTAGGCTTTCTTCATTGATTGGGCCACAGAGTTGTGGACATTTGAAATAATAAAATCCTTTTTTATTTGTGGATTTATTTGGGGAGTGTAGCATTTTTAATTTTCAGTCTATCTTCAATAGATTCTATTACAATAGTTATTATGATGTTGTTAAAAGAGAAAAATTATAAATGACTACATCTTTTTTGCTTTTTTATTTTTATTTGTATAAACTAGACTGCATGACTTAAGGTGGTTGAGTGGAGGTTAGCTGTTATATCCATGTTTGTTGTCGCCTGAAAACCATTAATTTTTTAGAATTACAGGGATTGTTAAAATCATAAATATGGTTTTTGCAGTATAGTAAATTTGGGGGCTTTGTGAGGCTATTGATTTTGGGGTCTTTTGTGATTATAAATACTCATTCTAAGACATATTAAAAACTTATGTGTGCTGGTTGGATGCAAGTTCTTCAACTGTGACACAAAAATTGATTGAAAATTATTGGGGAAATCTTTGTATTCATATTGTTGTGTAAGGCGTAGGTTTATTATTAGAAAAATAAGTGATTTTATTTTTGTACTTCGACATTTATAAAATTAACGATTGGTTTGTTTGTGTAGTAGGGCTTGGTGAATTATGTTATAATCTGAATTTTTTGATTGATCTCGTTTGTCATATGATTTTTATTGATCTTAAGAGATAAATTTAGCTTAATTAAAAGTTTGTTGATTTTAAATTTAACATTTGTCTGCATGTGTTTATGCGTCTCTTCCTATCTCCGTACTGAAAGACTCTGGCCTTCAAGAAGGTCTACATCACAATTATTTTCTTTTTTAAAATTTAGCTCAATGGTATTGGTATATTCAAATGTTTTCCCCAAACTATTTTTTTTTATGCCCTCTTTTCTTAACTTATGCAGTGAGTGTTATGATGTACTTGAAAGTGAAGAATAATCTAGTGTTAGAAGTAAAGCAAAGCCTATGTTGTGATCTACTAATTGGTGTTGCTAAACATTTGGATAAAGAAAATCACGCCAAAGGTCCAATGATCAGAGTCGAAGAGCCTAAGAAAATAATCAAGTTTGGCCCATTCAAGGGCCCACTCAAAAAGATATAATCAATGATTATACGAGTTTTAATATTTAAATTTCATATTAAAAATATGACTTTTCATTTTAAGAACACGTATGGGTTTACCACTTGATCAATTTTGGAAGACAAAATGAATTAATAAACATGTTCGTCACTTTCCTCCATTAATAGTTACCCACTTCAAACATCTCTCAATTTTTTTAAAATGATGAGAGTCAAGTAATAAAAATTTTTGCTTTGAAAAAATAAAAAAATTAGAGAAACTAGCTCTTTTATGTTTGGAGCTTGGTGGTAGACCTTGATCTTCTTTGGTGGGAAATGTTAGTAATTTTGCGTTTGCTTGATGTTTTGCTTCATAACATCTATAACGCTAAATCTTCATAACATCTCATACATCCTCTTTTTTGATAAGGTGATTATGTGTTTGTAGGCCTTTTGCTATCCTATGAATCGTCTTAGCATGAAGACAATTAGCAAGTCTTTTTTCCCTGATTTACAACATTAATGACTACTCTATTGGGACCATTGACCCTTGGCATGTCATCACAAGGCTTTTTCTAAAACAAAATTGCAACGAACTTTTCTCACAATGTTTATACTATATCAACAGTTCCTTGGTGCATGATATTAAAATGATCTCCCCAGTTCGATTTTTACGTGGAGACATTTATCACTCAGTTTGGATCTCATTTTCATGACTTCGTGTACATTGTCAAAGTTTTGAGAAAAATAGGCTGAAATCTGAATAGGCTCGATTGTCTTTTCGCTTTGCTTTCATTCCATTAAATAACAATCTTACAATCTATTTTAGGTACAAAATAAAGTGCATATAATCTATTTTAGGTAACTTAATAATACATATTCCTAATCTAAATATTCAGTTAAAAGAGAAATATATGAGAATAAAGATATTGAAAATAAGGAAGCTTCTACTCTTAATTTAACTGTCTGATTTTCATCATTCTTGATTGACATCCCTCCTCAAATTGATGCTGACTGATCTGGAAGCATCAATTTGCCGACAAAAGGTTGATAGCATTGTCGGGACAAAAAATCCTCAAGTTATGAGTGCTGAGGCCTCAGAGCGTTGAAGTCTGGTAATACCGAAGTCTAAAAATGCCTAAGCCCAAAAGTATCGAAGCCTAAAAGAGCCGAAGCCTGAAAGTGCCGAAGCCCAAAAATGCCGAAACCCAAAAATGCCGAAGTCTGAAAAACCGAAACCTGAGAGTGTCGAAGCTCAATAATGCCGAAGCCCGACAGTGCCGAAGCTCAAAAGTGCCGAAGCCCGACAGTGCCAAAGCTCAAAAGTGTCGAAACCCAACAGTGCCGAAGTCTGAAAATGTCGTAGCCCGAAAGACCGAAGCCTGAGAGTGCCGAAGCCTGAAAAAGCCGAAGCCTGAGATCTATGGTTTGCCAAAGCCGAAGTCGAAGCCATCAATCTAAGGAGTGTCGAATAAGAAACTTAAGCGGACAAAGCGAAGCATAAGAATCAGTCGAAGATGCCACAGAAGCAGTGATACCTAGTGAAGAAGATCTGAATCGGAGAAATAATAATACAAACATGACAACCCTTTTCAACCCAAGAATCATTGCTGCTTTCGCCTGCTTCACCAAACCAAGAAGAGAATGATGAAGAAGCAGCACCAACATCATTTGCCATCACAGCAGGTGGCATAGTTGATGAACGAATCAAAGAAAAGAAATAGTTCCTCCCTTCGCGCAAGAAGGCCGGCGGGAAGGGAGTCTTGAAGGTTCTCGAACTGGTGGTTAAGGCAAAAATTTGGCTCTGATATCATGTCCAAGTTTTGAGAAAAAATATGTTGAAATCTGAATAGGCTCGATTGTATTTTCCCTTTGCTTTCATTCCATTAAGTAACAATCTTACAATCAATTTTAGGTACAAAATAAAGTGCATATAATCTATTATAGGTAACTTAATAATACATATTCCTAATATAAATATTCAGCTAGAAGGGAAACATATGAGAATAAAGATATTGAAATTAAGGAAGCTTCCAATTATAGAATACTCTTAATTTAGCTGTCTTATTTCTATCCTTCCTCATTGGCATGCATTACTTTAGTTTGTCTACCTTCTTATTCTTGGCCTTTATTTTTAGAGAGCCTTTATTGGTACCTAGAGTTTTGTGAAATGAGAAGTTATGATCCTTTTTTTGTAAGTGTAGAGTGGATCTCCGTCATCTGGATATTGGTAGAATGTGAAACTTAAAAGCATTCTATCACACTGTTTCTTTTATTATATTTTTGGGCATAACTTCTCCTAATTTTGTATCGTCTTGAAGATCTCCTTAATTTCAGTAGCAAGAGCTTCCATTTGATGATCACAACGATCCTCCTACTCTTTTCATGGAAGACCCGCTTCATCTGTGTAGATTTGTTCTCAAAATTTGGAGACAATGTTTTCTTTAAAGGGTAGTAGTTGATGTTCTAGCCCTGTTAGCCCTTTAGTGTTGATTGCTTCATCAACTTCTATGTTTCTTTATTTACAAATACTGCTGTATGAAGAACAAATAGTGCTTTATTGAACACTTTTTTATTGTTTTTGTTCATCCCGATAAAGTTAATGATCTGTGCAGTACATTTTGGAAGGTGGGCCTAAGGCAATGATTAATCTGTCTACTGTCTTCACAATTAATTCTACTTATGCGTAAAATCAATTTTTGAAGTTCAATTTGAGCGGTAATATTATTTATATTTTGAATCTCATGAAGTACTCAGTTCAATGACTGGGTCATTCCTATTATTCATGAAGACTCGGCCTTGATTAAAACCATCTATTTCATATTGAAATGGTGAGGGTGAAATAGAAATTTTACGCATTCTAGTAGCTGTACATTATAAGGTCGTTCATTAAACAATAATTGATTATAATCCACATTATAAGCTTTTATTAAGAAATTTCTGTGACAGGTTGATGGCGATGTGCAAGAAATTTTAATCAATGGTGATGGGAACCCACAAGGACAAGAAGGAAATAAACAATTAGAAAAGGCCGCCCCACATTCTACTAATGAGAACTTGCATAATTCAAGCAATGAACTCTTTGAATCGCAAGAAAAGATCAGAGTACTTGAGCTCCAACTTCAGACGGTCAATGAAGAGTTACAGAAGTCTGATTCTGATAAAGCAAAGTTAAAATCAGAGCTTGATCTTGCTATAGAGAAACTAAAATTAACTTCTACAGAGCATGAAGATCTTCAACTTGAACATAAAAGGACGAGGGAGCAGATATCAGCTGAGGAGCAAAAGTATAATTTGCAGGGTTTATCACTCCAGGAAGCATTGAAAGATCTAGATGGGAAACATAAGGAGGTTGCTGACACGAAGGAAGCATTAGATGGCTTGACTGCTGAGCTGGATAGCTCAAAAAAGAAGTTAGAGGAGCTTGCATTGCAGCTGGAGGCGGCGGCTGGTCAGGCACGTAAATTCGAAGAACTTAGTCATCAAAACGGCTCACATGCAGAGTCACAGTCACAAAGAGCTTTAGAGCTTGAGAAAATGTTGGAAATTGCAAAGTTAGCTTCAGACGAGACAGAGAATCATTTAAATAACCTGCAAGAAGAGTTGAAAGCGGTGAACCAGAGGTTGGAGGGGAGTAATCAAGTGGAGGAATTACTTGCTGCCTCAAAAATTGAACTTGCTAAATCTTTGGAAAAGTTGGATGCTTCAAAATCACATGTTGGAGAGCTTGAACAGGAACTTACTTCCAAGGAGGCTCTCATCGGCAACCTCTCTCAGGAATTGGATCTATATAAGAATTCCGAAGACCAGATGAAACAAGAAAAACAAGCTGTTGAAAGTATTCTTACTTCTTTGAAAGAGGAGGTCCAAGCTAAAACTGTGGAACTTGAAGAATTTAAATTAAAACTTGATGAGGAGATTGGGGCTAGAGAAACAATTGAAAATAGGTCTCAGAGACAAGAAACACAAATTCTAGATTTACAGGAGCAGCTTGTTAATCTAAAAGGTGAGAAGGAAACCCTTCAAAGCAAGCTGGTGGACCTCAGCACATCTGAAAATGAACTCAAAGCGCAGCAGATGGAAACAGATGCTCGATTAATTTCTGCTGAGAAGCGAAACATAGACCTTGAGCAGCAAATATCACTTGTGGAACAAAAATATGCAGATGCAGAGAAAGAGATAAAAGAACTCAGTGGGAAAAGCAAAGAGCTCACTGCTTTGTTAGGAGAAGCTGAAGAGAATCATGCCCAATCACGATGCCATGTTCAGGCATATGAAGATCGGGTCAGCCAACTAGAATCATCTTTGAATTGCTCATATTCAAATAAATCAGAGCTTGAACAGGAGTTGACAAATCTAGCTGAGAAGTGTAAGGCGCGAGAAGAGCAAGTTAGTATTTCACATCAGCGTAATCTTGAGCTGCATGAGTTGCTTCATGCGTCCGAATCTAAATTAGAGAATAATGAAAAGAGAGTAGCAGAGTTGGAGTTACTCTTGGAAGCCATCAAACAGGAAAAAGGGGAACTGGAACAACATTTGAAATCCACAGAGGAAAAATGTAAAGATGCTGAAGCACAATTGGAGCAGCAAGCTAGGAGAGTGCTTGAGCTTTCAGAAGAATTACAGGAACTTAAGGAAAATTCACAACGCCTTGCAGCAGATCTGCAAACTTCAAATGAAAGGGAGAAGGAGTTGATAGAATTACTGAATGTTGTCACTGAAGAAAGAAAGAAGCATGAAAACTTGTCATGTAGCTCTGCTGAAAAGCTTTCACTATCTGAAAAAGTAATTGAGGATTTACAAATTGAGCTCAAATTAACTCGAGGGAAATTGGAAACAGTAGAGAGGGATCTGGAGGCTTCTGGTTCGAGAGAGAATGAATTAGTGGAGAAGATTAAATCTGCTGAGGAACAGCTAGAACATGAAAGAAAGTCAGCCGAGCAATCTATTGCAAGGTGTTTGGAGCTTGAATCATTGCATGATTCTGTGGTCAAGGATTCTGAGCGAAAACTTGAAGCAGCTGTATTAAGTTTTTCTGAAAAAGATTCTGAAGCTAAACATCTGTATAATAAAATAAATTCTCTTGAGGAGCAGGCAGCTTTCTATCAAGAGCAAGTCATGGACACAACAGAGAAACTAGCATCTCTAATGATGGAAATGGAGGCAAGTGCTGCAAGGTTGGCCACCTATGAGTCAACTGTTGAGGAACTTACTGTCAAATTATCAGGCAGTGAAGCAAAAGCTGAGCGGTCATTTGCTGAGAGTGAAAGGGCCAAGAAAGAGCTTGAAGAAAGCCAGTCAAAAATAAAGGAGCTGTCTGAGTCATTGAGCTCCATTCATACTGAAAAGGAAGCTATTGATAGCCAATTGCTTAGCTATTTGCAAAATATTACAGAATTGACTGATGATCGTGCAAGAAGTTCGGAGTACCAATCTCAAATTGAAGCCTCAATTAAAGAAACTGAAACAAAATTGCGTGAAGCTCTTGAGATATCTGCACAAAAGGATTCTGAAGCTAGAGAACTAAGTGAGAAACTGCTTGCAGTTGAGACCCAGTTTAAAGCCCATGAAGAACATGCAAATGAAGCAGCTTCTTTTGCCAAAAACTGCAAGGCTGAGCTGGAGGACGCCATGCTGAAAATACAGAGCTTGGAAAGCTCCTTTGAGGAAACAAAAAGCAGAGCTAGTCATTTCGAGAACAAGCATGAGGATTTAAGTCAAACAAACTTAAATTTGTCTCAAAAGATAGCAGAATATGAAACTAAAGTGAATGAGCTAGAAGGTCTACTGAAATCCATAACAGCAGAGAAAGAGGATGCATCCGTGCAACTTGAGTCTAAAAGTATAGCAATTGAGGATCTTTCTAAACAGCTGGTCTCTGAAAGAGAGAAACTCCAATTTCAGGTGAGGCTTTTTGATTCATTCATTTATTATACACCAAATTATTAAATATCAATTACAATTCAAGCTGTTATCTCATGTACTCTTGAAATTGTAAATTTTTCGTTAATCTGATTGTGTAAGCTGAACCGTCTGTAGATTTCTTCTGTTCTGGACGAGAATAGTAGAACAAATCAATTGTATCAAGATGCCAAGAAAGAGATCGAAGAACTAAAAGTTCAGCTTGAAGAAATTCTAAATGTTCATAAGACAACTGAATCCTCCCTCAATTCTGACCTTGAAAATCTAAAAGCAGAGTTATCTCAGAAATCCCAGCTACAAGCTGTGATTTCTGAACTTGAGCTGCAATTGGCAGCAGCTGCTACCAAACACAAGGAAGAGGTATGGCTAAGTTACCTATAATTTACCATATTTTTTTAGTTAACGATGGAGAGACATGGTCAAGGGCAAAATAATAAGAAGGATTTTTATGTATATCTGAATTATATATACTTCATGAAGCTGATTCCGCTTAATCTGTATTGCCTGTAGGTTTCTTCTATTTTGAACGAGAGTAACAGATATAATAAAATGTATGAAGATGCAAAAGAGGAGATTGAAGCTGTAAAAGTTAAGTTTCAAGAAATGCAAAATGCTTATAAGACATCAGAATCCTCCCTCAAAACTGAACTTCAAAATCTGAAAGAGGATTTATCTCAGAAATCTCAGCTGGAAGCTGCTATTTCTCAACTTGAGCAGCACTCGTCAGCAGCTGATACCAAGCATAAGGAAGAGGTACGCCTAGTTATTGGAAAATATGCCAAACTTTGTTAATAACAATGGAAATATGTTTATTGAAAAGAATGTTTTTTTTTTTATTTTCCTTTTTTCAGATTGAAAATTTGAGGCAATTAGCTTCCGAGAAGGATGCAATCCTGGCTGCGAAAGTACAGGAACTTGAAAACATAACACAAAAAAGGGAAGTTCTGACCCAGCAGCTGGATGATCTCCAGAAGGAGTATAATAACCTCATCGCAGAACAGGTTTCTTCAACACTTTCGACCTTGCTGACCAGAAGAGTCAATCCTTACTGTTTCAGGCTTATAACTTGATTTCTGAATCTTAGATATAATGCCATTTTTGGAAATCATACTTCGATTCATTGGAAGCACCGTAACATTGAGCATGATTTGAGAAGCTCCTCTTTGGAGTGAAAAAATAAAAAAAATTAAAAATTAAAGGCCGACAAAAGATAACAAGCAAAGTATACCGTGAAGAACCTTGAACAAAAAATCAAAAAAATAAAAAAGAAAATGAATTAAATATACTTTCATCTGCATGATAGAAGCATGATGCAGTCAATATAAGAAAGATGAGTTAAGACATCTATGAGACGCTTGTATATTCATTGAAGCATGAATGCTGGTATCTCGAAGTAGTATGGAATTAAAATCAGGATTACAATCTTGCAATTGTTTTGCATGCATTCACAAGAGTAATGAAGCTTATTGCTTTGAAAAGTTTCCATCATGACATTGTAAATGTAGAATAAATTAGTCAAGCAAAGGGAAATTGGATTGAGCGTGAACTTCTGTCTGCATTTTCATGCATGAAGTGTAATGTCGGCACTAAAAATTGGGGGAGTTGCCCGTAAGAAGTTGTCGGTCGCTGGAATTGAAATCTCGTCGCCCGCTTCGGAAGGACGTTTTGAATTTACATATAGATTTAAGTTTAAAACAATATAAAATCAATCTGACCCCATAATTTTCACAGTTTAAATGCAAGAGCGTTTTATCTCAAATCCTGTATCTATATCTGTATCTATCTCGAGGGATAATAAGACTTGGGGATGAGACTCGATCAAATAAACTAAGAAATATATGACGTCCGTTTGGTCTGCGAAACTATTTTATTTGCCGACAAATTTCTTTATTTAATATGAAAAATTAAATAGAGTTTATTTTAAGCTGGATTCGGAAAAACTTCCTATAGGAGCAAGCCTCTATAGTTAATTACATCTTAGACAATCGTAGTTACCTAAGAATACTCTCGATAAAAATTAGGAAATATTATCTTCAAAATGGTCAAAAGGATATGTCTTTTCAACGAAATCGGATAATGAGGTGTGAAAAAAGAATGGTTCAAGTTTGGAACATTTATTATAAAATCCAAAGGAAGAAAACCTAGGGGATGTTACAGATCCGAAGGAGAACCTAAGTGACTTCTCAGTCTATCTTATGGTTTAGCTTCAATTTAGAGAAATTATTCAAATGTTTTATGCTGTCAATTTTATTTATTTAGGGCTTACACTTGTATGAAACGATCACACAAATAGTCTGAAAAATGTGAGAATTTATATCGCAAATGTGAGAATTTATATCGCGACGGACGACAACCTCGGAATCCTAAAACGAGTTAGAACTTAGATTGCACAGTAAAGCTATAAAAATGCCTAAAGAAAAGTTGTGGATTTATGTCGCACTACGCGAACGACCTCGAAATCCTATGAATTGTTGTTTAATTCTAAGGAAGGAATGATTTAGTTAGGGAAGACATGTTCTGCTGTTAAAGACGGACGTACTGCCCACCGTGCTGGCTTAAGTTTCTTGTCGTGACGAGTTTAAGTTTTCTAGGGTGTTAGGTTATGATATCAAATCAAACAGTCTCGTGGTTGTAGTTTTTTAAACATTCTAGGGGAACATGTTGAAGTTGTATAGTATATAGAGTGGCAGTAGAGTATGTAGCACAGGACAAATAGTAGAGTATGCAATAAAGAGAACAGTACAACATGCGATGTAAAGAAAAAGTGGACGGTACAACATGAAAGTGATTACAAGAAAGTAACATGTTATAAACATAAAACAAACCTGCATACCTGCGGGATCTGTTGTTCCTTAGATGTAACTGATGCAACAGGTACAAATAACAAAAAATAAGGAAACATGCTGAAATGCATTATATAAATGAAGTAAAGAAACATCACCGGAAATCTCGAGAAAAATCGTCAAAAGACCCGCGACAAGAAAAATGCAAGGAAATCGACGAATCGATGAAAATAGTAGAAAACACGAGAAAATTTCGGAAAGAGACCACGAGTGTTTTGTCCAAAAATTCCAAGAAAATATATGAAAAAGTCTGAAAAGAGGGGACTGCAAGCACTCGAGTGGGGCTAGACTCAACTATGTATTAGTACTCGAGGGTCGTCGAAGGTTAGCGCGTCCCCCGGGTTGAATAAAACCCGCCACTCAACTAGAAGGGTGTCCTATCGAACTTAACTCAGGAGGGTACTCCTTAGCCCAAACAGATAATCAGCAGGTGGACAACCAATATTTAAAATGTATTTAAAATTTATATTTTTAGCATGCACAAGTTTCAAGCAAACAAAAGGGGTTGTATCAATTTTATTTATAGCGAAAAATATATTTTTGTTTTAGAAAAAGGTATCTGTTCTTATCAATTTTGAAAAGTAGTCCACGAGTTGATCAAATTTTGATAGGTTCCTGAATCAGATCCCGATGTCGTAGGATGACATATCATTTTGCTCTATCTTCAGTGTGCTTTTGTCATCACTGCTCTAAGTCCCAAAACAAAACGACATACTTGCAACTTTGTTTGATGGTTTCACGTATAGCAAAATGCTATACGTGGACACTTGTGTATCGGACATAAGCATAAAAAACTGAACCAAGAAGCAAGGAAAAAAAAAGAACAAAAATAGGGTGAGAGAGAAGAGAGACTGATCCACCTAAAACATCGAAAATAACGAAGGATGAATCAGCTCTGAAAACTTGTAACGAAAAGACCTAAAAGTGTATGTCTCAGGATCAATCGAAAGGAGGACGACAATTAAGGCTCTCGGCCAAGGCAACCCAAAGGATCAAGAGGCTCACAACTGAGGCCGTAAACAGGGCCCAGAAAAGAGAGTAGGGGGTCACGAGTAAAGTCAGCAAAAGCACAACCGAGCTCCAAACTAGCTCACGGGTGGGAGCCAAAACAAAACAATCCAAACTCTCTATAGGAAGCTCATGATCGTAGATGGGAAGGTGGAACCCAACACAACAGTCCCATGGATGGGGGACAAAGAAGAAATAGGCCTATATCTACAAATCTCACGGTTAGAGGGCAGAACCGAAAACCACAAGGACAGTGCCCACTGAGCAAGGCTCATGACCAATGTAGCAAAAGGAAAACCAAAAGGAAAACCACCCCACCACCCCAGGTATTGCCAAAGTGTTGCCTTTGATATACATAAGCGAGTGAATGAACAAACCTTCATAAATCATTCAAATCGGCTCCAATTTTCATAAGAAATATGCTCAATTTATCTTGATCACCTCACTCTATAGATATTGCAAATATATATATTTTTGGATGACAAACTTGATTCATCAACAACATTCAAGTCACCCTAAGTTCAACAGGAAGAGCCAAACAACCCCAGATACCAACTAGTTCATGGGTGGAACTAAGAACAAGCATGGATCAACTCCACTACAAGCCTTTGGGTAAGAGCAGGAAAAAGACACAAAACAGGCCCCCAACAAGCTCTCGGGTAAGAGCAGAAAGAGGGCATAAGACAGACCCTCAACAAGAGCAAGGAAGACGCAAAACAGCCTCTCCAACAAGCCTTTCGAATAATGAGAGCATAAAGCACAAGTCAGGTCCTAAGACAGTGGTCATTGCCCAACACAAACCAGCAAACAAACTCCCAAGACTAGAGACCGCAGTCTCCACAACAAGGTAAACCAAGCCTATTCACGGGTAGGGAGCAACTAAGCATTGAAACCGAATCCCCAAAACAAGCCTCGAAACAAATATCCCCTCCAGCATACATTGCGTAGCCATTTCAAGCCAAAACCAAGCCGCAGCTAAGGTTCAAATTCAAGTTACAACAAGATAGTCGAAAGAAAACATTTCCATACCCCTGAGACATCAAAATATAGAAACGACACATGTCTTACATAAGAACAACTACAAAATTATTGCGAATCAACATAAATTCATCCCCCACACGTATATTTGAGCCAAGACACCGGTGGGATACCAAAACCGAGCCCAGCAGGGGCCAAAACTAAGCCCAACATCAAAATAGGACATAGCTCTGCAGGCATTCAAAACCGCGGTCATGTAAATCCCCAAGCTAATTCATCAAAACAGAATAAAATTGAGTCATTACAAGGCAAAACCAGGTCATCCAAAGGCTAAAGAAAAGTCCTAATGCCTTTAAAACATCAGTATATGGAGCCAAGATAGGTTTTTAAACTATAACAGTAATATAGAAAGTATTTTAGGCCACCAATTGTTCTAAGCATGAATCAACTTCCTTCAAACATCCAAGCATGAAAGATGTCCCCCCCTCGAGGGGTCAAACCAAACTATTAAAGCAAACTACAGAACCTTTCCCAAATCAAAGTGAACTTCTTCATAACATGCATTTTAAGCAAAAGAAAGTTATAAGATGTCAAAATCGAGCCCCCAACGTACATGAAGGGCCAAATAAACTCTCCAACATCTCATGCTAAATTAGAACAAATGAGGAGTTTCATGATACATATCCCAACATGCTTGAGAGAAGCCAACATTATCTCAAAGTCACATTTTAACATTTTCGATTTGCCTTGACAAAAAGAAAAAAGAGGAGCCAATTACATGCTATACTTTCACCATTTTAAGCAAGTAATCAAATCTAACTCCTAAAACATGCTCACATTTTTATCTTTCACATGCTGAGGTGACAGATATTTCAAAATATAGGTGCAACAGTAGACTAACATACTATACCATCCACAACACCAACTTCAAGGACTCGGCAGAGAGAAAACCGAAAAGGAGTAAAGCACAAGGGGGGGTGGTTAGGAGGTACCTCTTTGAAGTAAAAGCCAAGAAAAAAAAACAATTTCAAGAGCACTTCACCATTTTCAATCTTCCCTCAACAGCAAGGGTATAACCACTCCAAGCTTAAAAAAGCTAGAGAAGAAAGTTGAGAAAAGAAAATGACAGAGTTTTCCCTTCCCTTAGAAAATTTTCGGCCCCCCGAAACACACCAATGAAAGCCTCATATGGACCAGAGAATAGGAGAAGGAATGATTAGGAGATCGTATGCGATTCGAAGGATCGAGAGGAGCAGACGTCTCCATATGGACATGCGAGAGGCAGAGGATGAGATCCTCGCAGAGGATGAGATACGATAAGGGATGGGTCGCGGGATCGTCTCGCGTGCGCGAGGCGAGCCCGTGAACAAGACTCCAACGACACGAAGGAGCGGGCTAGGTGGAATTAAGCGAGCTGAAGCTAGGGCAGAGGTCCACGGGGTCGAGACTCAGCAGAGGGGGGGGGAGATAATGAAATTAGGTTAGGATTTAATATAAGGTATTAATTATAATAATAATAATAATAAAATATTGTTTATTATTATAATTAACAGTGAAATGTGTATTTTTCCCCAGACATGTCGCTGTGAAACGAACGTCTTTTTTAGGCAAAATCGACGTTCCGGACGCGCCAGCGCAGTTCGTTTTGTCATTTAGAGTCGTTTAAGCAACCCCATCGACGATTGAGACAAAAACGCGTCGCGATCCTAATCACGTCAAAAATTTGGCTCGAGCTTAATCAAATAAGGCGACGAAGAGCGCGATAGTGGCAGATTAACGCGTACAATCAATCCTATGACCAACAGTCCTATAGGGACTCTCCTTGAGTTCCTCCACAGTAGCCTTACCTACTAAGTAATAGCGGTCAAAACTACCATGCGGAGTGTCAAGTTGAGCGAAGAAAAGCTCAGAATTTCTAACGGGGATGGCTCCTTTGCTAGTTTTCTAGGAGTAGGTGACAAGGCAGTCCTACAATATACCCTAGGCTATTAAAGAGGAGAAAAACTACACCTCCGCCAAAAGTGAGGTCAACAGGTAAATAATTCACTTTACTACTTGATTTGTGGCTGAGGAGAACACCTATTCCATAATGAAAATTTGACATTAAGGCTTGTTTGGGATCATTTTATTATTATTATTATTATTATTTTTTTGTGTTTTTCATTTTTGTTTCTATTTTAAGAACAGTTTGTTTAGTGCATATTTATGCAGGCTACCTTAGCCTGTTGGTTGTGAGCTAGTCTTTCAACCAAGATGTCTTAGGTTCAAGGTCCTTCATATATGGTGTGGTGTGCATGTGTTTACGATTAAATGCCACCCAAATTTTCTAAAGGAAACAAAAAACAAATTAATTTGGTTTTAAAACACTCAAAATACCCAAAAGTCGGTTTTGAGTACTTTTTCTAAATCCAGTGACCATGTTATAACATAGCAACCATGTTTCATTTTAGGTAAAAACATAAAATAAAAAATAAAAGTGATCCCACATGGTTCCTAAATTTTTAATTTTCAAGTTGCATGCCTTCACATACGATGGATACGATGAATTCATTATTAATAAATAATGAGCTACAAACATTTTCAGAAAGCATGATGTTTTATTAAATTTGTTTCTTACATGTCTTTCAAAAGTTAAAAGAACACTAATCATAAGCTTGTCAGCATAATTATCAAAATTTTCTTTTAAAGCAGAAAGAATCCGACCTGAGGATGCATCAGGACAGAGAGTATGTGGTTGTAAGCTCCCACGATGAGCTGGAGACTGAGCGGCAGCATTCATTGCTTCTAGAAAGCCAAATTGAAGAACTCAAGCAGAAATTGGAAACGGTTCAAACACAGAACAAGAAGGTATGCTTTTTAAGTCCTGTTGATATTACACGATTATTGGTCCAGTCCGACTTTGATGTTCAATGTGCTTTCTTGTGAATTTCCTCAGATATATTAATAGCCGGATAAGAACATTTTAGTTGCATGCTACTCAATTTCTAGGTAGATACATCGTTAAGATTTAGGGTCTGTTTGGGGCAGTTGTAGCTTATTGAATAATCTGCTGATAAGCTAGGGGTAGGGTAGCTATTACAAATTTTTATTTTTATGGAAAAACCAGACCGCAGTCAGAAAGCTCGGTGTGAAAATGTTATTTTCAGCTTTTTGAAAACGCACAAGCTGCCAAACGCAGTTTACCCAAACAGGTCGGGTGCATTTTCAAAACGCCGCTGCACTAAATAAGCTTCCCCAAACGGGCTCTTAGACTAAAATTTTTGCGTGTCTACCACATTCATGCTTGAAAAGGTATATTTCATTTTCTTAAAATGTAAAATAGTGGTGTTCACTTACCCACAACATAGTGGTCGATGATCTAGTTTCCCACCGTGAGATTGTTGTTTCAAATAGTGCATACTGTTCTTTGGGTCAATTTTTTCAAGAGAAAATAAATGGTATTTTCAGTTGGATGTGAAAGATTTGGGTGTTATAAATGTAAAAAAAGCAAAATTTAGGTGGTACATACAAAAATACATAGGATTTGGGTGCATGGCATGTAAGTAAATGCCCCTATATTTTAATGTTAGTTTCTGGCAAATTCACTCCAAATTCCAAAAAGCACGAGTATCCGAATTCAGCACACAATCAACAATTTTCGCCATTCCACTCGCAGGTTGATATTGTGAGCACAGAAGATAACCTGAAAGGCGTGGAATCAAAATCCCGAGATTTCGAATTACCTGCGAAATCCCCATCCAAAAGGAAGAACTTGAAGAAAAACGGCGAGAAAGCTTCTGCTAGTTCTAATGAGGCTTCTGCTGTCGAGAATACTGGACTAAATTCCTTCAAGTTCATCTCAGGAGTCGTCGTCGTCTCCATCTTCATCGGAGTCTATCTTGGGAAGAGATATTAATAGAATTTATGGCTTGTTTTCTTTTTTGTCTCTCTTCTTCCTATCCATCATTATTTGACAAATGATGATGATGATGATGATGATGATTGTATTGGTGCTTGGCTAGGGTTAGATGTGGGAATATGTTTTATTAATCTTCCCCATCCTTGATGCATGCAGAGGCTGCTGCATGGTTCAAGGTGTTTCTTATTGTCTCAAGTTTTTTATGACCTTTTTATGCGGGTAGTGAGCAGTAAGGGATATTATTTAAGAATAAGTTGGGAGTTCTGTGGAGTCTTTGAGAGTTGCATATTTTTGTAGTAAGAAATGTGTGTTGATTTTGTGTATTGTTTCATGATTGGTTGGACGTTCTGTTGAATATGTTGATGTGATAAGATTTGCAAGGTAATTGCAAAGACATGTAATTATTCATACCTAAATTTTAATTTTTACATAATGTCATCTTGCCTATGCTTGAAATGTTATATTTCATTTATGTTTTGGGTGGCATAATTGTAAAAAAGTATAGTTTATGGTGTTAGATAAGAATTCATAAGAATGAGGTGATGTGTATGTAAGTGCCCCTGTAATTAAGAGAAATTTAAATGCATGGCACGCAGTTCACATCTCACTTGATTTTGGATGGCATAAATGTGAAAAACGTTTTCGACATGAATACATAAGAATTAGGTGGTGCGTGTGTGCATGACTATAATTATAAGAAATTGACAAACCTAGCACACAATTTTGATGTATTCACATCTCTCATATTCAAACTTTGATATTTTATAGTGTTAAGATTATATGAAAATTTTTGGATATGAAAACAATTTTGCAATCTACATCATTTGCCTAATTTATTTATTTTTTTTAATTTTGGGAGTTTGCCAAGTTCTAAAAGAAATTGTTACCTGAATAGGACTACGAGCGAGTTAAGCCAGTGGATTGATGGATTGATGACGAGTTAAGATAATTAAATAAAATTTTAAGTACGAACTAAATGTGTTTGTTTGTGATAAATTTTGTATTTTAAGATGATTTGGTTATGATTGTATAGTATTGGATCCTAATATATAATTTTTTTTTAATTTTTAAAATATATATGCTATTTATATTATTATAAAAATGATGAAATTGTTTCTTAAGTAGTTGAATAGATGATTTTAAACTTATTCTTCTAACTTTTAGTGCATACTATGCAATTATTATATATTTATATATCTAACACTTAATTTTTTTTTTTATATTTATGTCTATAATATGCAAAATTGTAATATCACATTAAAAATATTACTATTATTAAATTTTAAAATGTCAAAATAGACATTTTTATAAATAGGTTTATGAAAGTGTTAAAAATGTAAATATTAAATTCTAGGTTTTAGATTTATAAATTAGTAAGAATCTTAAGGAAATTTAACGGTCTAGGTGAGAAGAACGTAATGTGGAAGGGCCCACCTACATAATAATGCGAGGCTCGCTTATTCGACTTTGTGCGGTCGTACGAGCCAAAGCCAATAAATTTAAAGTCGGTCGAGCTATGAAAGACGATTGAATGATATGAGTCCAAACTGTTAGGTTATAAATGAGATAAAGAAACGTCTCACCCAACAACCATGAATAAGTCGACTTGAGAAAAAATCCAATAACTCAGTATCTTCAATCATACTGAGGACGTTACGAAGTCTTCCCACCTATTATCAAGGGTCAACAACCTGACTAGATCACCCAACTGGCAAAGCCAACCAAGCCTAGGTGACCAAACTGGTCATGCTGACTCAAAGTCAATCAAGTTCAGTAGGCTGAGCTAGAGAGGTGTCCAACGATATGCTCATATATGTAAAATAAAATAAATATCCTACATAAACCCCTTTAAAGAAGGGGCAAAAATGTAACATGACTTCATTATATTCTCTTCTTATAATTATGAAGATCATTTTATGAATAAAACACGACAGACACGGCGTATTACTGCTCATTACTATTTACTCCTCTCTTTATCTTCCTCTCCTAACTTGCACTCAATTCCTTGGTATGTGATTAACAAACAAATCAAGATTTAACATCTTAAAATGTGTGATAAGCGTGGATTCTGTAATAGATAAAAAGAGGAGCAACTCACAGAAAAGAAATTCACAACAGATACACTGGTAACATGGAATGCATCTAAGAGTTTGTGAACCAGCAAACTAGGATTTGAATAGTATTGGATGCCATCTAAGATGCGTTGCTTTGAGATAGAAACCAATACCCTAAAGAGGAAATGTTAGCGCCCAACAACCGAAGAGTCTCCCATGCCCTAGAAAGAGAGGCAACTCCAAATACTTCGATAATACTAGGAAACTCAAACCAATCCATGTGAGAAAGTTGATAGCGACGAATAATGTCTGATCAATAAAAATTATCAAACATAATTAATAACCATGAACAGACGTTCAATTAGTAAATTAAACAAGAATTGACTTACAAAGCTCAAGCATCAACAAAACCTATCTCCTTAGCTCTAAGCGGGTCTAGCTTTGGAAGCGAATCTCTGCCCATTAGTGACAATATTCACAGTGGGTAGCGTTCAAATCATCTAAGAAGCAAGTCTCAACGGTTACTCCTGTGAAGACCATGATAAGATCTGCTTAACACATTTTTCTGTGGCTCGTCCAAGGACGATGACCCAATTAAGCCACAAAAAAATGGGAGGTATAAGACTTGATTTGGACGGTAGCATAATCTCTCTATAATCATAGACCAGTTAGCCCTTTATCTTTTCACAAAGTGACCCAAAGCAAATCCCCTTCGGTCAATTGAATCCCTCATGTTATAACAACTGCTTAGCGCAGGCTTACCCAAAATAAGCCAAGAAACATCTATTTACAGAATTTCAGATATGTTGGATCGGGTATACATATCACAAGAAAAGTAAATGCATAACAAAGGTAAAGTAAGAAAAAATGACGATGAAAGCAACCCAAATCTTTGCTTTTATTCATGATTAAAAAATTTACAAAAAGTCCAAACATTTATTTACCAGTGTCCAAAAAGAATAAAAATTTAAAATTTTCTAAGTTACAAATGAAATCGAATGCGAGTCACTATTTATACACTTGATGACTCTCCATTGTCTTCACCACTGTCATCTTCTTTCCCCTCCTTAGAGTCCGAAACCAGAGTGACAAATTTATTCATATCAGCCCACTTGGACGAGATGTCAATTTTACGCTAAGCCGGGTGAGTGAAGAAAGTAGAAAAAAAACATAGTATCATCAAACCTCTCACCCTTAAATATGTAAAGAAATGAAAGAAATGAAATTGTCACACGGGGGTTACAGATGAAGCTGAATATGAGTCATACATTCGACTACCCTCCATCGTCTTCATCACTTTGTCCTCCTCCCCCTCCTTTAAGTCCGAAAGCAGAGTGAGAAATTTATTCATGTTGATCCAGTTGAAGGACATGGTCGCTCTTCGCTGGGTAGAGTGAGTGAAGAAAAGAGAAAAAGACATATTAAAGGCATAACGTCATCAAACTTCTCACTCTTATATATATAGTGGAATGGAAGAAGAGGAACTGTCACACACGAGCAAAAATGGGACTGCACGTTGATTTAGAAATGCGCTGATAGAAAGATCACATCAACGCAATAGTTGAGACTGAAAAATAAAATTTATTTTGAAAATGGATATTAGAACGTGCAAAAAGTATTTGAGAGCTAGGCTTAGAGTGAATATTTTCCAAGGGGGTCGTCCATGCCTCAGCTAAGACATATCTCACCCAATGCAATCTCTTTTATAAAACCTCTTCACCCAAACTTACATTGGCTCATCCGATTAGTCTCATCTTGAGCCCAAATTATAATGGTTCTCTCTTGGATGTCAGACAGTTCCTAGTGAAGTGTGAATATCTCCTAATTCATTTTCTCTACTTTCTCTACACGAACAAGCAGCTCGTGCATCTCCTTGCCTCAATGAATCCAGACCGACCAAGCGAAGGAGTTCTTGGTCTCATCTAAGCGACGAGCTAGTGATCTGGGGGATGTAAGTCATCTAATAGCTGCTTCCTCGCGAGTCTCGAGAGGACTGCTTGAGGGGTAAATCCCACTATCCTTGTTCCACTCCCAGCTGGCGCTTGGGCAGCCGCCAGTAGCACTGTGATCAGGTTCCCAACAATTTCTGCTAGCGGCGAGTCATCTCTAGGGACTATCAAGACTTCGTTAGCTGCATTAAAAGATAACATAAAAAAAGCGGGAACCTTAAAAAAAACTCACATATAGTAAGAAAGACCAAGGCTCTTCATACCTAGGAGTTGATCCAACTCATAGCCTATAAGTGACAAAACACTTTTACTAGGAGGCGGTGAAGCACCTGTAGCTTGTTGCTCGGTTTGTTCTAACAAAAAAATTTATGCAGTGATAGAAAGTTGAGCCAATTAATCAATAGTCGGGTCAATCATCTGGATGTTCCTTTGTTGAAATTTGAGGAGCAAATCAGACGACTCTATTTGATCCACCAACCTGACTACTTTTCCCTGCTTAATGATAATTTCCTTCTTCAACTTCCAGGCATTATCGATCCTCGTTATTCTAAAGGCGAAACAAAGTAGATCTTCGTTGGGGACATTGATCAGGGGACTTGGCACGTTCTCCATTACATTGGTTGGAAGTTGGTCTATTCAAACGATAATAGATGCAAAACAAATATGAAATACAAAGAGTCTCATCACACCTTATTTATAGGTATCAAAGAAGTGAAAATGAAGAGAGTTCAATTATCGAATCATTGATTAAGAAAAAAAAGTGTTGTAACGCTAATCCTGAGGAGATCTAACGGTCCATAAAAAAAGAAGAGTGTAACGGGGGAGTACTCATTGAAATAAGAACTTGAGGGCCACTTATTTGACCGAGTGCAGTCCTTCGAGCCAAAGCCAACAAAGTTAAAGTTAACCAAGCCACGAAAGATGATCAAATGATCTGAATCAAAATCATTCGGTAAAAAATAAGATAAAGAGGCATTCGCGCCAACCACCACAAAAAAAATCAATTAGAGAGAAGACCCAATCCCTCACGTCTTCAATCATATAGAGGACATTCGAAAGTCACCCCACCTATTATCAAGAGTCGACAACTAAACTAGATTTGCTGACCGGCAATGCCGACCAAGCTCAGCCGATCGAATCAGTCTTGCTGACCCGAAGCCGATCAATGTCAGCCTACAAGCCAGAGAGTAGTCGAGAATAGACTCATACATAAAGAAGATAAGAATACCCAACACATCCCCATTAAAAACAGGAGAACAAAATGTAACATTTTCATATTATACTATTTGTAAAATAAACAGAGAGATCAATTTATGAATAAGACGAAAAAGATGACAGATTACTGTTCACTCCTCCCTCTAACACTTCCTCTCTCCCCTAACTTAAATTATATTCCTTCGGATGTAATTCATAAATAAATCACGATCCATGAAATCATTCATGACATTCAAATTTTTAATACTACATCAAAATTACCGTAACTTGTTTTTAAAAAAATTGTCTTACATTATTGTATGCATAATGTTTTGATAAACGTACAAAATTTTTGTGGTTTGTATATAAAATTTGATTTATTTTCATCAAATCACTTTATTTTCAATTAATACGTTATTTCTTGGAGGACTATAAATTAAGGAGACTGACTATAAACTATTAATTAATTTAAAACATGACAAAATGTAGTTTTCCCGTTGCTTCATGAAAACTCCAAAATTTTCATTTTGCTTGCTTTTTTTTAAGCCGCTGGTCTTGCTTGATCTTGACTTCTTTTGGCCCAGTTTTATTATTAGTATTATTATTATTATTATTATTATTTTGGAATTTACATACATACCACCCAATTTCTATATATTTATATATATTACACTCAAACTTTTTTTTTTTTTAATATTTATACCATCCAAAATTTTGGTATTACATCAAAATATAACTATATTGGCTTTTAAAAGATGGATTGCACCATTCATAGGTAACTAGGAGTTGCATGTACATGCAAATTAACTAAGAATTGAGTGTATGTATGTACAGTTTTTTTTTTTTTTTTTTTTGTAATATTTACATACATATCACTTAATTTTTGTGTATTTACATATCTAACATATAAGACTAATTTTTACACATGCACACACATACATATACATACATACAGACATACATACATACAGATATACATACATACATGTCTATTTGTATACTATCTATATACATATCTATCTATGAATGCATATCTATCTATCTATATATACAAATCTTTCTATATCTATATCTATCTATATATACATATCTGCCTAAACCTATATCTAACTATCTATACATATCTATATATATGCATGTATATCTATTTAGATATATCTATATATATGCATGTCTATCTATCCATATCTATGTATATATACATATCTATAGATAATGTATATATAGATAGTTATGTATACATAGATAGATATGCATAAGATATATATGTATATAGAGATAGATATGGATAGATAGATAGACATGCAGATGAATTGATATGTATAGATAGATAGACATATATGTGTGTGTGTGTGTCTATGTATATATATGAAAATGTGTACATCATTTTTAAAATTTAAGGGTATCTTTAGGGCGGCGATGTGGTGCCCAACCACATTTTATTTTTATTTTGGCAAAATTGTGTTTTGTCTACGTTCTCAAAAAACTACACCCGTAATCTACGTTTTTAAATTAGACCTAACTTTTGGTGCCTGCTAGAAACTACTGTCTGACTTAAAAAAATATTTGTAATAGTCATCGTATCATTTGAAAAGTGTTTTCTTCTTCGGCAGCTTCATGGGGCCTCAAATATAACCTAAAATAGTGATTTTTTTACGGTAAAGTTTAGATGCTAGTTATGTAAATATAAAGAAGTTGTGGGGCATCTATGTAAATGCTCTTTTATCACAGGTAGGCCCGTCTCCCTCTTTCCTCCTCTACTCAAATCTCTCACTCTCTCCCCTCTGGCCACTCCCCCTGCACCTCCGTCTCTAAACCTCTGCAGCCAGCTTGCTCCTCAACATCGAGATTCCTGCTCCCGTCGGCCAAATCTGCGGTTCTTTCAAAGCCCTGGACGCTCTGCGGCTGCGAGAGCCCAAAAAAGGGCTTCCTTTTATCCCTCCATCACAGTATTCCACTGATCCAAAGCCCCCGGTGAGCTTTCTCGTCCGCCGGATCCTTATTTCTTCGAATAATCATAATCTTTTATAAACTACGTTTCATCCACCATCCAATCAGTCGGGCAACTGCTGCGATTTTTCTTTTTTGAAACATTTTTTGCTATAATTTTTTTACTGATCTTATCCTAAGAAACCGTTTCTAGGTTTTATTCCCTGCACTTGTGGGTTTTGTTTTCGTTTTTTATTTTTTCGGTTTCAGATTATGGTACAGGAAGTAAAGGAAGTGGTTTTTCTGTAGCTATGAAGCTATTGTTTTCTTTTTGTTTGCAGTAGACCTTTGGTGGATTGGTATTGCCTTTGATCTCGTTGGAGAGGTCCGAGGTTCCAATCTGACCTAAAAAGGTGAACTTTCCTTTTCGTTGAGGTTGGTATTTTCAATCAAGCTTGCATTACATTTTCTGATTTTTTGTTGTGTTAACACAGTTTTTAAAATCCAATCTTCTTCATTAAGGCTTTAATGCTATAAGAGATGATTTGTGGTTTTGTTTGCTTGATTCAACCTAATTTTCAGATTAATGTAGGAAGCATTGGGGCGGAATAGAAGAAGCTGACCAACTTTAGTGGCCTGCTTAAATTATGAATCTGCTCATCGTTTTATGTAGGTGAGTTCCATTGATTATAGACAAAGGCACCTAAAAAGGGGAAAAAAAAAAACTTTTTTTTTGTTTTTCATCTGTCTCTCCCTCTCTCTCTATATGCTCCTTCCCATATGTTTATCTCACTTGAGTCACTGCCTTCTTGACTATAGGAGCGAAATTTATTTCTAAATTATATGAATTATTTGAACCATTTTCTGCAAATCAGTGTCCTTGTCATCATACAATTTGTTTATCTGAAATGAATAAACATGGTGCTACTGAGTTTCTTTCTGTAGTACAATCACATGCCTTTGGGAGGGACCATTGGGCGAAAATCGTATTGTTATTATATATATATATATATATATATTATATATATATATATATATTGCTTCAGCCTCTATTTAAGCTGTTATTTTAAGGGAATTTACATACGTAGCACACAATTCTTATATTTACATATATCACACCTAAACTTTCATATTTACATGCATAGTACTTTTGTTCTTTAAACCCATACATGAAAATATGTATTTCACTTTTAAAAAGCGATAATAGTGTTTTTTTTTTAATTTGTGTAAATATGAAAGTTTAGGTGTGAGATATGTATGCTATATATGTAAATGCCCCTTTTTGTTGATTTTCTTTTCTCATGGGAGTTCTTGAGAGAATTTAACTCTCTTCTATTACTTCCTCTTCATCTTATGATTCATATCATGTATATGAATGATAAAATGTAGAATCTTGTCTTTAAGGATTCTTATCTATCAAAATTTTGATTTAGCCTCAGAAGAGCTCAGAATTGGTTTGATGCTGTCCTAGAATTTAGCTAACATGAAAAGACCTTCAGAGATTTGGAGCCTTCACTCCGGCTCAACCCAATCACCGGAGTCGGCCTTGGATATGGAAAGAAGTATCTCCGGTCACCAGAACCCGCCTTCTCTCATCTCATCGTCGCTCCAACCTTGCGCATCAGGAGGTCAACATTCCGAAAGTAATGCCGCATATTTCTCGTGGCCTACCTCAACTCTAATGCATGATTCCGCCGAAGGCCGAGCAAATTATTTCGGAAACCTTCAGAAAGGAGTCTTGCCTGGTAATCTCGGTCGCCTGCCAAAGGGCCAACAAGCGACAACATTGCTTGATTTAATGACCATAAGAGCATTTCATAGTAAAATTTTGCGGCGTTACAGTCTTGGAACAGCGATAGGTTTTCGTATTCGACAAGGAAAGTTGACTGAAATACCTGCAATTCTAGTTTTTGTTGCTCGAAAAGTTCACCGGAAATGGCTCAAGCAGATTCAGTGTTTGCCAACTGCCCTCGAGGTAGCGAATTAGTGATTTGTTTGCTCCTTATTTTTTTAGATAAACTTACATTCGTAGCAAAAAGTTCTTATGCATGTACATATCTCACACTTATACTTTCATGTTTACACATGTAGCACTCAAATATTTAATATCGCATTAAAAAATAGCACTATTTTTACTTTTTTAAGAGTGAAATAGGCCTTTTCATGCATAGGTTTAAAGTACCAAAATGCTATACGTGTAGATAGGAAAATTTAGGTGTGAGATAAGTAAATAAGTAAGAATTGTGTGCCACAAATGCAAATTTCCCTATTTTTTATCTACTGATTTTCTTTTTTCATAATTGAAAAAAATAGTGATTAATTTGAATGTTGACTTTTGCTTAATATTTATCTTTTTCGACACTAGGTGCCATTTCTAATTCTGAGTATAACTGTTTGGACTCGGAGTTACTGAAGCATTCATTCCTTGTGATAAATACTGTCCGTTGTTTATATTTCATGTAGGGACCAGGTGGTGTGTGGTGTGATGTGGATGTTGTAGAGTTTTCATACTATGGTGCGCCTGCACAGACTCCCAAAGAACAGTTGTACACGGAGCTTGTGGATGGTTTACGTGGAAGTTATCCATCTATAGGCTCTGGTTCTCAGGTATTTGATGTGTTTGCATCCATGTTCTTTTTTCCAATACTTCATTTATAACACGCATACCACCCAATTCCTCTGTATTTAGGTATCTATTATCTAAAATACATTTTATGTTTATACCATCTAAATCTTTCATATCACTTAAAAAATACCACTATTTTAACTTCCATAAAGTGAAATACACTTTTTTATGTACAGATAAAGTGACATATAAGTAAAAGTTGAAATTTAGGTGATGTAAATACATAGAAATTGAGTACTATGTATGTAAAAGTTTCTTAAATAAAATACTTAAAATATTATTCAGTGTTTGCATCGGTCTGTTAGGTTTATGTTTTCTCTTAATAGTAGTAGTTCATTACTTATAGAACAGGATCTGGATTATGTTTATTGCCTCTAGTTCTCATTTCTAACTTTTAAACATAAGCAAAAGTAGATTGACATCATGAATACTCTTTCCATTTGACTTTATTTATCGTCAAAGAAAATTCTTGCCATGAATTAAGGTTGGGGAGGTTAGAGGGAAGATACGGGAAAGTTGCATAGATTCCACGCACTCTTATGTATTTTACATATCTAACACTCAAAGTTTGATATTTACACTTATAATACATTACATTGGTGTCATAAACCTACGCATGAAAAGATCCACTTCACCTTTAAGATAGTAATGTTGGTATTTTTTATTTGATGTTAAAGATTTGAGTGGTATGCATGTAAGTATGAATGCTTAGGTGTTAGATATGTAAATACATCAGAATTTTGTGTTATTTATGTAAATTCCTCATTATATATGTAATTTTGCATTTTACTTATTAATAATCCTTCATAGTTACTAACCTAGGTTTACATTTCCATGTCCTAGTGATATTGCACAGTAGTTAGAATTGTTTTAATTGGAACGCATGATTGCATTATTGTTTGTAAATAAGAGATGTTTATGGGTTTAAACAATTATTAATAGGTAATTCTCACTTCACTCTTATGATTGTTTGCAATCTTCGAAAGTGGCATCCAAGCGATGGAATAATTTGGAAATAGGCTAAGATTGTTTGGGCGCGCACACACAAAAAAAAAAAAAAAAAACTTAACACTAGTTTTATGAGATATTAATTACAAGGTTAGATGGGAAAAGCATAAATTATTGATGAGACTGTTAGAATTTGCAAGCAATGTTTTAGCTAAAATAGATTGAAAATCAAATGTTATAAAGTATGAGTTCTTTTAGATGGTTGTTGTGTAATGTCAAATACTTCGACATTTTAGGATATTTGCCAGACCCATCATTTTTTTTAATTTTATTTTAGCATTTCTCTTAAAATTCCCATACTTCTTGTTTTGCATATTAAAATTTATAGTGATCTCAGGGAAGAGATGCCAATCAATTAAAAATTTTATAAGTGTATCTCATTTTACTCTCAATATTGTTTTCAATCTTTGAAGTTTGAAGTAGGCATATTCTAACTAGATTAGGGCCCTAAATGTTTGAAGGAACTAACTGAAAATAATATGAGTAACAACCAATGGTAGAGGATGGGAAAAGCATATTGTGATATTTCTGATGTTGATGTTGGTTGAGTAAAAATAAGGAACAAGAGACCATCTCTAAGTGTGTGGGAGGAGGATGACTAGACTATTTAGTCTATAGTGCCAATAAGAAGGCGTTATGGTGGAAGAAATAGTAGAAGGGTCATCAGTGATCAGTCATCAAGTAGCAGGCTCCAACGAGGTCAACATCTTTATCTGTTATTTTTTTAGATGAGATTCTAAAATATATAATGAGAGGGATATAAAAGCAGAGATTCTAAAAAAACATAATGAGAGGATATAAAGTTATGTAAAAATTATATGGAAAATTTATGAAATTATGGGGCATTTAGAACATAGTAGATGGTGTTATCATAATGCTTCATCAAAGACGTAGTTGGAGAGCATATTAAATTCAGTTATGAAAAGAAGAAGGTCATGTTGAGTGAGTAAAAATCTTGCAATTATCTGACATGGATAGAGAAACAATAGACGGTTTTGAAGTTTGTGGGAGAAGGATGACTACAATATCAAGTTGACAGTAGCAATAAGGTGTAATGGTGCAAGTAAGAGCAGAGGGGTCTTGAATCGTCAGCTAATAGACTCCATTGACTTCAACATCTTTATCAGTCGTTTTTTTTTTTACGTTGAGATTTTTAAAAACATGAGTGGGAGATAAAATTATGGAACATAATAAGATTAAATATATGAAATTATGGGACATAAAATATAGTAGAGAGTATTGTGGAATGAGTCACAGTGCCTTAACAAAGATGCAGAATGGGGACCTGTTAGCCTCAATTATGGGAGGAAGAATGCCACGTTGAGGGAAAAAAAATCCTTCCAATTATCTAATGTTGAAAGAGACTCTTAAATCTAAAATCCGCGTGTGAGGTTATGCCAAGAGTGGGGCAAAGTTTGTGAGTTACTTATCATATGAGAAGAGATGCTTAAATTGTGGATTCATGACATATCTAAGAATACAACCGCAACAGATCTAGAGGTAACATCATAATAACTGGATTCATAAGTATGAGCATTTTGAATCTAGCGATCATATTTCTATGAGTAAGTGTGACAACCTGAAGGAGTAGTGGTAGCCCAAGAACCATCAACTGGAATAAATGTCTACTTGGCATGTTGGGAGTTAGCAAATAGCCAAATTTTGCCCAACATCACTACCGACCATGACCACATCCAATACTAGTTTGGCTACCACAACGATCATGTTGCTTCATTGTGAAAGCCATCTAATTTGACAATGGCTGGAAGGAGATGGTAATTCGTTGACTCTAAAAACTTGTTAGAGGGCATTCAAAGATTGACAAAGATAGATTTGACCATCAAATGGATGAATGCCAAAGAGAAATTTAGCAAATATGAACTTTTCTTTTTATTGTTTCTAGACCCTGAGATTGATAGTAAATGGTCTATAATAAAATAAAACATCCCACTTACCCTATAGGATGCTGTAATAATCAGAAATGAACGAATCCTTGTGCTGTAAAGAATGTATACGATAATAGAAAGTTGGGGCATTTACATACATATAGCACAATTTATTATGTACTTACATGTCTCTCACCAAAGCATTCATATTTACTCACATAGCATTCAAATCTTTAATATCATGTCAAAAATAGCATTATTATCACTTTTTAAAAGTGAAATACATATTTTCATGCATAGGTTTAAAGCACCAAAGCGTTATGCATGTAAATATGAAAGTTTAGGTATGAGATAAGTAAGTAAATAAGAATTGTGTGCTTCCCTAAAAGTATAGATCTTATATACTTATTTGAAAGTAGGTTAGAAAAAGTCCCATGTAGTCGTAATATTCTTATGAAGCTCAATTCTGGAGGCATGAAGAGTTTTGCGGCTTATCAACAGTAGAGTGAGATAAACATATTAGATGCTTTCCATTCAGAGACCATAATAGTATCATCAAAAGCCAGAGGAGATGTATCAAGGTGAGATAGGTTCATCACTAAAAATAATTGATATCAATGAATTTTATAAAGATCTTATTGTTGGATGAGCTTTCACATCATCTAGAAAGGACAAAGTTGAAGGATTAGATGTCAAAACAACTTATCCAGAAATTGACAGTGTAGAACAGAAGCTTGGAAGATTAACGAGCATTAAACGAAGTCAACGTATAAGGCAACACACTAGTAGGTGGAGGCCAGAATAGAGAACACAGCAATTAGCCATTGTGACGGAGTTGTGTAGCGAGCATATGTGTCGATCATGTGATGCACAAGCATGCGGGCAAAATTAAGGCAGAAAGCGGTCAGCAGCGATGAAGCCGATGATGGTCACGAAAAAACCCGCCGAAGATGAGCACTTGATAGAGAGGGCACTCAAAGGCCACTTAGTAAGTGAGTGCTTGGTGGCTGCTAGCGACATGTAAAGGGGTCAGACAGAAAGCAAGGAATTGTGAGGGTGGCTCTCTTATTCTGTTGGATGTAACAATTACTCTATATTTTGCTTAAATATGTGAAGACTTTAAATATGTTTGCAAGAGCAAACAAAAGGAAATAAACAAGAGAGAATAATATTCCCAGTTATGACAATATTAAATGATTATTAAGAATTTTTTTCTTTCTTCTTGGATAGTTAGCTACAAGTGCTAGTATGGAGTATAGATATATGAATAATTCTAGAGCACAATTATCTTCTAGATATGCCAATGCCCGACTTAATTGTTTCAAGTAAAGTCATTTTAGACTGTAGAAGTTATTTAATTTGTTTTTCTAATAAACATTTTTCTAACTTTTTCTTGACATATTAGATACATAACAATCATCAAGAGTATATCAATATAAATGTCGCAAAGCAGGCAGTATACTAATGCACTAACACTAGACTTCACTCCTTGACTAACTTTTCGGATGGCAATATGGTTAATTTGATACATATTTTTGTTGGCCTTGTTGGTGGTGGGTACGCTATCCTTTCTATTCATGTTAGAGTAGAATTGTGTGCATATAATATTCATTTGATTAGCCAAAATTAAAACACATCTAATAACAAACTTAACAAATATATTGATCCATTCTTCAACTGTAATTTCAATTGTTTCTTATTATAAAAAGGAAAATTTATATACGTAGCACACAATTCTTATGTATTTACATATCTTACACTTAACTTCATATTTACATATACAGCACTTTGGTGTTGTAAATCCATGCATGAAAATGTGCATTTCACTTTTAAAAAGTGATAATAATGCAATTTTTGTTGTCATGTTAAAGACTTGAGTGCTATGTGTGTAAATATGAAAGCTTAGGTGTGCTTTCCATGAAACATAACAAAAAGAACCACTTTTTATTCTAACCCCTTATTATGTCTTTATTTAGGTGGCGAGTCAGGAGACTTACGGAACTTTGGGCGCCATTGTTCGAAGTCGAACTGGAAATAAGCAAATTGGATTTCTTACAAATAGGCATGTTGCAGTAGATCTGGACTACCCCAATCAGAAGATGTTCCATCCCTTGCCACCCAACCTTGGACCTGGTGTCTATCTCGGAGCTGTAGAGAGGGCAACATCTTTTATCACCGATGACCTTTGGTATGGGATATATGCCGGAACAAACCCAGGTAACATGGTTCTAGTTTATTTCTATGCTGACTCTGATTCTCCACTACTAGTACTAACATTCAGCATTTTTCGATCAAATATTGTTTTATAAATGGAAAATATGCTAGTGAAGCTCTATGAAGCACGAATATGGACATCTGGATATGGATAAGACACGACATATTTGCAAAAAATAGGACATGATGGACTAATATATTTCTTTATTTTGCTCAAGTGAAAGACATCTTAGGGTGAAATATAATGTTATAAAGAATTTTTTTTAAAGATAAAAAGAATCATACAAGATTAATAATAATAAATGATATTATCACAAGCATTCATATGTGGCTTGTTATGTCCTTGTGGAATGACTTTGACTTCCTTTTTTTTCTATGGACTGGATTTTTATGGCGTATAATTTGGAAGATTTACGTGCATGTCCCTGAATTTTAATATATTTACATATCTAGCATCTAAATATTAATTTTTATTCATATATATATATATATATATATATGCCACTTTATCTATGCATGAAAAGGCGTATTTTACTTTTTAAAAGTTAAAATTGTGGTATTTTTTTAAGTGATATGAAAGATTTGGATGGTATAAATGTAAAAAAAGCTTAGGTGTTAGAAATGTAAATACATAGAAATTGGGTCGTATGCACGTAAATGCCTTAAAATCTCTTTATTTTTACATAATTGCAATATAAAACACATCAAATTGTCTCAAAAGACATTGGCTTCGCATCTTCTTCTATCTACTATAGCATAAGTGAGCTCATGCTTGGGTTTCCTACTTGATCATTCGATGATGATCTGATATCCTAACATATTTCTTACATTCTAATGCACCTGCAGAGACATTTGTCCGAGCCGACGGCGCATTCATTCCATTCGCCGATGACTTCGACTTGTCCAACGTCACCACATTAGTTAATGGCGTCGGCGAGATCGGCGATGTTAAGGTTATCGACTTGCAGTCTTCAATCAAAAGTCTCATCGGAAGACGGGTGGTGAAAGTTGGAAGAAGCTCTGGTTTGACGACTGGAACCGTCATGGCTTATGCTCTCGAGTATAATGACGAGAAGGGAATATGCTTCTTCACGGATTTTCTCGTTGTTGGAGAGAATCATGAGACTTTTGATCTCGAAGGCGATAGCGGTAGCCTTATCATTTTAACCGGGATGGATGGCGAGAAGCCTCAGCCGGTAGGCATCATTTGGGGCGGGACGGCGAATCGGGGGAGATTAAAGTTACGAAGCGGTCATGGTCCAGAGAATTGGACCAGCGGAGTCGATCTAGGGAGGCTTCTCGATCTTCTAGAACTCGATCTCATAACAACTAATGAATCCCTGCAAGGTTTGTGCTGCATTGAATATATAATAGGAAGATTTAAATGCATATCACTCAAATCATATGTATTTACATATCTAACACCTAAACATATAATTTCTTTACATATATATCACCTTAACCATGAATGAAAAGTTGTATCTCAGTTTTTTTGAAGTTAAAATAGTGGTAGTTTCGATGTGATATAAAAGATTTTGGTGGTAGAAATATAAAAAAAAGTAAAGTTTCAGTGTTAGATATGTAAATATATAGGAATTCTGTGGCATGTATGTTAATCCCCCTATCTAATAGGAAAATTTACATGCATACCACTAAATCGTATCTATTTACATATCTAATACCTAACTTTTAAATTTTACATGCATGTCACCTTCCTTATGAACGAAAAGTTATATTTCACTGTTCTAAAGTTTAAAGTAGTGGTACTTCTGACGTGACATGAAAGATATGGGGCAGAAATGTAAAATGTAAAGTTAGTGTTGGACATGTAAATATTTAGGATGTTTTGTAGACTACGTTATTATTATTTTTTTTTTTTGCATCTTTGAAGAAGCTCTGCAAGATCAACGACTTGCACTGGTCGCAGCTGTAGATTCAACGGCCGGAGAATCATCGCTCACGATCGGAAACCTTCCAAATGATAAAAATGATGATATTTATAATCCTCTTGGTATTAACATTATTGGTGGTTCTGCAATTTCAGGAGTTAACAACTCCTATAAACAATTAGAGTTCCATGTAGACACAGTTGAAACTGTAAAGAATGTGGAGGAGCTACAATTCATCACTAACTTTATGGGTGCTTCACCACTCCACCAGGAAGAAGGAGATAAGCCTGAACAGAAAACTCTTTCTGCTCTCAGAAACTCATCTGAAGAAGATGTTTGTGTTTCGTTACAGTTAGGCGATCGTGAACCAAAACGGCAGCGATCCGAGCCGGCACCTCCAACCGAGTTGCCCAAATGAAGAACTCGAGGATTCGGCTAGCTGGTGTTTTTCGTCCCATGAGGAATTTTCGATCCATTGGGGAGGTTATCTTGATTTGTGGAACGAATGGGACTGATTTTAACATATGGGTCACCATTGTGAGCTTTTTAAGCTATCAGAGGTTAGCAATCTAAAGTATTTCTGTTCTTCCTGCAGTTTTAGAAGTTTCAGAAGAGATGAGTTGAGCGAGCATATTAAGATTGAAATTCTTAGAATTGAATCTGTTACTATTGCTATCATGAACTCAGATTTTTGATTTGTTAGAAGTATTTTGCTTAAATGGTCAGGTTGTATTTAGGTAACCGTTTTTATTTGAATTTGAAATATTTGATTTTGCTTAGTGGAATAGAAATGCTTTTCTTATTCTTCAATTGTCAATGTTTATGCGATACTGCCAAAATTTACATGTTTATGGGTTCCTTTGCAAAAATGCATTTTTTTTTTGTGTGGGAATATCTACATATATATCACTTAATTTGAATGCATTTAATACACACACACACACACACACACACACACACACACACACACACACACACACACACACACACACACACACACACACACACACACACACACACACATACATATATTAAGGACATCTTATGAACCAGACGGGAAGAGTATGACCGAGGCAGACCAATTAGTAGGAGATTTTGTGGCCCACCAGGCCGAACGCGCAATGTCATATGAGCTAAAGTGGCTAAGCCAAAATTGACCAAGCCACGAGGCAGACAAGAAAATAACCAGATAATCGAAGCACAAGTCATCCGATTGAAAAGAAACAAAAGAGCATTTGAGTCATCCACTACAGGAAAACCAACTCAATGTTATAGTCTATCTCCCAGTAGAGTCGATCCAAGAAAATCCAGTACCTCAAAAGTATTTAAGACCATCTTGCGAACATCCCAAGAGTCATTACCAGGGATCGAAGATAGTTAACCAGTTTGGATTAGCTGATCGAATCATACCGACCAAACTCAGCCGACCGAGTTGACCTCGTTGACCTGAAGTCAACTAGGCTAAATCGGCTAAGCTAAAAGGCAGTCAGACGATAAACCCATATTTGTAAAATACTAGAAATACTATAGTATGAATCCCTTCTAAACATAGGTAAAAAAATATAATATCATCATTGCATTTTCTTCTCTTTAAATAAGAGAAATATTTTATGAAGAAGACACATTATTGAACGCTAGTCGTTACTATTCATCCCTCTCCCTCTCTCCCTCTCTCCCTCTCTTTCTCCATATTTAAAGTACATTTTTGGGTGTGATTCACGGATATTCTCATATTCAACTTCATGAAAGATGCAGTGAGCGCCGATCATAACAACAATGAGAAGATATGTCATGCAAGGAGAAGGACCTCGTAATAAGGAAACCGATGACAACATGAAATGCACCATATAATTTGTGGTTCGACATATCCAAAATCTGAAGGATCAAGTGTTAGAAATGATTAGAGATGTGTTGAATCGGAAGTAGGATTAACAATTTTGACATGATGTTCCGACATCTAACGAAAGAAAAATCCCTCGACCTTGGAAAGAAAAGACAAAACCTGGTACCTTGATAGTGTTGAGTTGACATCGATCGATATGCATCATGTCGGGCGTAATGAAGCACCACGCCATCTAAAAAATGCATTATCCTAGTAGATATTCAATGTTGAGCCATTAGAGATGTTCAAAATTCCGACACTTCAATCTTGTAAGGGACAAACGAACCTGGCTAATCACATCATGTCGTTTCAGTTGTCTGTGATTTCTCAAGATCAACGACTCACTGAAGTGTCGACTTTTCTTCACCATGCTGAGAGCTGCTGGCAGGAGTGATCCAATCATTCGCAAATCTCAAGTGAATGTTCTATGCACAGTTCACAAGTATTCAAAAACCCTAGAAGAGATCACAGGCTCTCGTGCAGCTTTTCCAGGGATAGAGCAAGACTTAGCGCACCTTCGTTACTCATTTTCAGAAGGAAATGTTATAGGTTTAGGATTTGGAACCCACAGCTACTCATGCAGCCATCACATAAGGATTAAAGATGTTGAAGCTAGGCAAAAACCCCCCCCCATTGAAAATCAAGTCACCATTCCACCGAAGAGAGCCACCCACGGGGAAGGGTGGAAGCCGAGAAACAACCCTCGCTCTTCTATCTAAGCTCGCTTCGAGGATTCACAAAGACACTGGGATAATCGGATGACCAAAAGAGCCCATCATCAGGAGAACCGAGTCCGATACACGGAATGACGACCTACTCGATATCAGGAGCGATCACTGCCCGCTTACAACATACCCAAGGAGACTCCTCTAAGAGTCTCGATGGCCGAGATTGTTGAGGTCATCCAAAATAAATATTATTTCAAAAAGGCGACCCTAATGAAGTTGGAGTGTGTCTCCGAGACTCGAAGAAGTACCGCGCATACCATCAGGACCACAATCATGACAGTGGGGATTGTCAACACCTCCAAAGCTTGATCAAAGCTCTGAAGGAGTTTGTAGTGCACGAAGCAAACAACTGATGTAGTTCGAGCTCGCGCCCACAATACACAACCGACATAATTTTTGTCTTTTTCGAACGGAATGGAAAAGAGTGATCCCACTGAGCCAGCTTGAACAGGTCTTGGATGGGTGAATTATGTGTAGGCCTCTTGGCACCTCGATGCAGCTCACTTCCTCTCATCTCTTTTACCTATGCAAACCTACCACCAAATGGAAACCCCTACAATGATGTTATCATTGTTAAAGTCCTAATCGCCAATTACAATATTGGAAGAATAATCATCGATCTCAGGAGCTCGATGAACATTATCTTTAAATCAATATTTGATAAGATTAGTTTTTTATCACCTTCCTTCTTTTTATCACGGTCGTGCCACTCTACTAGCTCTCTGGATAAAGGAAAGAAGCTTTAGGAACCCTCGCTCTGTCAGTCATCTGGGGAGAAGGTGATAAGCAGTTCACCAACATGGCATATTTTCTTATGGTTGATTCTCCGCCCATCTATAATGTTCTCTTCGGTCCCCCATTGCACTACTCCTTCGTAGCTGCATCTCCACATATCATTTAGTTGTGAATTTACAAGGTGATGGGGACATGATAAAACGTCTGAGGCGACTTGGAGCAGTCCCGTACTATCTATCTTTGTGTGGTTGGAAGCATTCATCAGTGGTGTATAGATTTTTCACATCTAACGAGGGGAATGGCTCGAGACTACTGAGACCACCTAGAAGGAGGTCCCTTTCGACTATGACAAAGCCATTGAATTTTTCTTATTGGGCGATGTTTTTGATGTTGTTCATACAGAAGAGTTGGTCTAGACTTTTTGGAGCCACTGAGAGATCATTGTTTGGTCAGTTGTCGAGATGTTTGGTGTTGATCGACGTTGCTTATCATCGACTGAACGTCAAATCTATTGATCTGACCAATGAAGCAAAAGAGATGGATGTTGGCAGTCTCTAGACTTGTTCAGATCATCATCATCATCTGTGTTTACTTGCAGCCATTTTTGTCACAAACATGATCCTAGCACGTCTTTCACACCACTTCGTTGTTATGAGAGTCATCCTTCACATGTTATTGTTCCTTCCCTAACGGTAGACCTTCACATGCCATCAATTTAGTCACCACTATGATTATGGTGTGTCAATGATAAATTTAGTAAATGCTAAATTTTATGCGTTAAATATGTAAATATATAGAACAAATTTAGCTATAATGCGTATATATTGCTTATTTTGATTTATAAAGATTGAGGTCATTGAATTATGACCTTGCCCTTGTGAAGTAAGCATGTAATTAGAGTTGTGGAAATGAGGTTAAAAAACTCCTAGAAGAGAAACCACAAACATACTAATCATTTTTATGATCATTTTCTTAGATTATGTAAGGATTGATTTCATCTAAAATATTGATATTACAACCATTTGGACACACAAAATTAATATATGATATTGTAGAAAACTGAACTTATAAGTTCTCTCTTTTTAAATAGTCATTAAGTTTCACAAATTGAAGTAATGTCTCATACTATTTAATAAGCATTGAGTTCTCATGTTATGTTGGATTTTCGTAAAATGCTATTCTACTTTTTGGGCTTATTTTAAGCCCTAACAAAATGGCTAAGTTATGCCATGAAGATTCACAATGCCTTATATAAATATAGAATTTTTGTTAGACATAATTCAAGCTAAAGTGTCAAAATAGTCTATGACTATTTAATTGGGTTGTTTTAGACTCAGATTTATAGAAGTGTCAAAATAGTCCACAAATTATTTAAATTGGCAGTAAAATAGTCTCCACGGAGAACTACTAAATCTCTTCTAAATTTTAAGTATAACTTATTATCATATTGGCCTGACTATAGGGCTCTAAAAACGGCTCGTTGTTCGCGGACAGCTCGTGTTCGACTCGTTAAGAAGCACGTGTTCGGCTCGTTAATTTCGTTCGATAAGTTAATGAGCCGAACACGAACTAAGATGTCTTCGTTCGTGTTCGGCTCGTTTTGGCTTGAAATACTACTCATCTAGTTTATGTTTATATATATATATATATAAAGTAGTATTTTAAAAAATCTAATTGACTACAAGGCTACAAAGATTTATATCCAATTAAAATATTGATTAAGAAAATAGAATAAAAATTATTAAATTAGATTCAAATGATGTTTTAATATAAATAATAATTTTTAAATCTTGCTCAAAACCTTATTGTTTTATGGCTACATCATTAGGGTTATTAATCTTTGTCGTTGAACAGCTCGTGTTCGGCTCGTTAAGCAAACGAGCCGAACATGAACACACATTTTGAGCTTAAAATATAAACGAGTCGAACACGGCTCAGCTCGTGTTCGGCTCGTTTACACCCCTACCTGACTACATTCATGATTTAGTAGACTTACGTTCTCAATATCTTGGGATGATGGATCCATGAAGTCCTGGCCAGTTTACCTCTACCTATCAAAGACTTCCTTACCTACCATTCGACACCCAAGTAAGACATTTTATACTCATTATCTAATATTTTGTCGTCAATTCATGGCCCCTACTTTTTTGCGAGGTGAACTACCAGCAGTGTTCCTCCTCAAACTCTTTAAATTGGTGCTGAAATAATCTTCACGTAGGACTATTAGAGCTCATTTAAAAATTAAATACAAGTTTTTGTAAATATTTTTGTTGTCCATAATCTATTTAGTGTTTTAGAAAATATTTTTTTTTAAAATTAAAAGACTTGATTTGAATTTAATCATTTTCAACACTATTTGAACTTGGCTCCATTTAAAATTAAAATTTTAGATCACAAGGGGAAGTTGGCCTTCTTT